ATGGTACCGTCTCCATGATCTGTTGAGCGAACACATTGTCTGGGGCCGCTCAAATGACACTTCGACGCGTTGTACCTTATATCTAATCGTCAGCTTAGTTCCAGTGTTGGCCACTTGCTGTAAATCTCCTTGTTATTCGTTTGTCCAATTGCTCGCACTTCTGTTGGGGTGCTGACAGTGCTCCACGAGAATCCCCTAGGGTGAGTTCCCTCATCTCAAAAAGTTGTGGTTGATCATTCCTTCGAAAGAGCGCTTTTCAAAGGGCCTCGAATTGAACCATCGTCTGCTTCTGCAACTCTTGGACTTGCTGTTGATTCTCTCGGTTCACTAACTCCCTCGTGAACTTCATCGGTCTTCCGTCTCTCTGCTATGATTCTCCTTCGTAATATGCTCTGTTTCTCGTTTGCGCATATTCACGCTCACTGCACCGCCGTTTAGGATGTTGATGTTGAAACCTAAATTGTCTTCCGTGAACACACCCCAAGAGTTAGAGCTGAGAGAGAGAGAGATCGAGTTGAGAGAGAGAAAAGTTGTCTTTATTTAATGCCTAACCTTCTACTTCTAGGGGTTTTGAAATACAGTTGCATAAGGGGGGGGAAGAATTACTATCACCGCCCAAATAACTGAATCGACGTGTCCGTCAAATGAATATTAGATCATTATAAAAAAGAAATTAAATGACTATCGATCGGTTGTTATTACGGTGTCGACCGAAACTGTCTTCTGATAATTGGATCGATTTTGTGGAGGATTTTGGTCGATCGTGTTGACCTCATTTTTATGAGTATGAGGTCTGACTCTTTCTCTCTATAGAATCTATGATTTAGCCTTAGGATTTTCCTAATGACTCTCCAGGAGGACTAGTGTTTGGACCCACTCCAGTTAAAAATTGAACCATTTCTTGACTCCTTGCAGTCTCATATGCTTGGTTTTAAATCATCAACTTTTCGTCAGGTTGATTGAGACCAGCATGTTGAAACTCAAGTGGAGTTCTTATAGGTTTGAAAGGCCTTAGGAAAACCTTATGAGTTTAGGGGTTTAGGTCTGATGGTGGTCCTTCCTTTGAAGCATCTTCTCTTCACTCAGGTGTACTCACCCTCACTTTTAAATAACTCTTTTCTTCACTTTTAGGGAGCTCAGTTTGAATATGAATCACTTTTTAAGATAAAAAATGTAGCTATCTATTTAATAATTAAAACAATTAAAAAAATTTTATTTTCTTTTAATGAAAAAAATTAATTAAATCATTAAATCAAAATTAACATAAAAGAAAAATCTTTCAAAATCTATAAATACAATCTTTGAAATTTTCAAAATAAAATTTTATAAGTCCACAAAAGATAAAACATAAAAATATAATAATACTAAAATTTCCTACGAGATTTTATTAAAAATATATATAATAATACAAAAACTTAAAATTTCACACATATACACCCTTCACTTGATAAATATTCCCAAATTTACGCCTAATCCTTTGAGTTCTTTCTTGGCTATTCTCTTCATACCTATAAACTTAATTGAACCATTTTGACACCTAGTTTGAAGCCACCTTCAAGCTACCTTTTCCAAATCAATAGAATACTTTTTTGAGCCACTCATTGTGTTAAGCTTATCCATGATATTTCAGCATTGATTCACCTCATTTGTGAGCCTAAATTGAGTTTGATCTATAAGACAAATTTAAACCCAAATGGAACTATACTTAGAATTCAATATTGAACTACATTCAATCCTATTATAAAACATTTTCATTAAATTGATTTTGGCTCTTCATTGAGCCAATCCTCTTGCTGACTACTTTGAGCCAATTCAGCCACACCATGTGATACTATTGTGAGCTTAATCCGAGTCCATGTGAGCCCATAGAAGCCAATTCTAGAAGCTTCACTTGGTTGAGCCAATCTTTGCCTTTAACCGCCTCCCCACATGGAACCTTTCTATTGGCTCTCCCCAAACCCTCCTCATCTGATTCCCAACCAACCCAATAGCAAGGAGTGGGCACATTTGCTATACCATTGCTATGGCTCCTTGGGTCAAGCATACCATGACCTGAAATTCACCATGACACGCCCTCATTGAAAGCTCCACCCAGTTGGCTCACCTTCACTGGTTAATCTCAATTGACTCAGCTCCACCTTACTGATCCAAGGCAGATGAGAAGATCACCACCGGATTGAGATACGTTTATACTTTCCTTTAATTCGCTTCAGTTTTGAACCTTTGTGAAATAAAGTTGCGTGATAGTTGATCTTGACCATTAGATTTGTAGAGCTTCAAGAGGTGAAGCTATAAGATTTTGAATTTTAAAAATCCATGAAAAAATGAGTGAGATCGATGTGATTAACCACATACTGTGCTCGGTTCTTAGCCCTTCGGGCATGACGAACCGATGCTGTTGTTCCTTTAAATAAGAACCTCTTCACTCATTAAATGAATTAAATTGAAGTAATGATCCTCAACTAACTGAGCCAAATTGTTAATCAACTAAAGATAAACCTTTAAAAAATATTGCTAACCTTGGTTGAAGTGGTTGAAGTATAAATAAAGTATTTACAAATATATCTAAGTAAAAAAATTGAATAACTTTCCTTGTAGAACTCCAAAATGAATGAAGTCTTCACCCATAAGTTAATTGAATTGAAAGAAGTGAAAAAATACAAAATTTACTTTGATTTATTACTTTTAATAATTTTCTATTAATAAACCTATTAATAAGTTCAATAATTCATGAAAAATCTAAAATAAATTTGAAATGACTTGAAAAAAATTCTGAGGTTGTTTAGAATCATACTTTAAATATTTCAGTAAAATTTTAAGTCTTTTGGAAGTCATTTCGAATTATTATAAATTTTTGGAGAAAATCACATTCAAAAATAAAATTCTACAAAATTTTAACATAATGTTTTTTAAACATAATATACATTCACAAAAATTATTTTTACATCATTTTGAAATCATTTAAGTCAAAATATCTAAAACCATAAAAATTACAAAATTTTTCAACAAAATAATTCATAAAAAATTCACAAAACAACCAAAATTTCTAAAAAAATATATAATAATTGAGTTGATAAGAACCATGTTCACTTTCCCAGATGTATGGGTGAGATCTTATAAGTTCTAATAATATTAAACCTTATATGTCTTCAAAAAGCATATAAATAAGTTTAATAAAAAAATTAAAAATATAATAACAATATAATAATAATAAAAATAATAATAATAATGATAATAATAATAATAAGAAGAAACAATAGTAATTAACCCTTTGGGTTTGCGAAGCCTTCTTGGAAGACGCAACCCATGGTTGCTGACGAAAGCTTTCTGGTCCAAGCAGGTTTAGCTACCTCTTTAGGCTAAGTAAATCCAAAACTAACAACAATATCAGAATGACAGAATCATGAGATCTTAACCGGTCTTGCATAAAATTAAATTTAATTTGTTTTTATTAAGCACTTTATTAATCGCTTCTGTCATGATAAACACTAACCTAAATTTATTTTGCAGAGATACTATAAGTAAATAATTTTTTTTTCTCGAGTCATTTTCTTTATAGGGTTAGGTGGTGTTGTAGTTAGTCAGCTATCAAGATCTAGGATATCTGAAAGAAGATGAAACGTGAAGTGAAGGACGAACCTCAGCTAAACTCTCAATGTTATCTCAATTGATGTTGATTAATATGTCCTAATATTTTAGGATTTCGAGATTGCTCGTTTGGTACGATGTAAATCCCAACTTTTAGGCTTTTGCATGATTGTATGTCGTGCAAATATAAGTCCTAAATTTCTAAATAAATTGCAGGATTGAAATATCAAATAACTTTCCTTTCAAGGATATAAAGTCAAACCATACTTTAGTTTAAGATGTCACTGAGGTTTCCTCGATATCTTCGACATCTCGTACATTTTATTCCTTTGGGTTCTAGAAGTAAATGTTCCACATTGAGTTTTTCTCATTTGATTTTCCTATAATTAATCATAGAAACTAAATTTTGAAATTCTTGAAGGAAGAACTTCAATCATAATCGAGAGCTTTCTTAAGTGATCTTGGTCACTTGAGTTAAACTAAACTATATGAGTCTGTGCCTATAAGAGATTAGTAACTCAGATAATTTAAACCTTATGTAATCTTTCAGATTAGATGGGAGAAATATATATTGGTATTTTAACAGACCAAAAAAATATCTTAAATTTCTTTATTTGAATAATTGAACCCATTATTAAGTGATATTCTCATTTCTCGAGATGTCATTACTTGTAATATCGTGTTCGATTATTTAAACAATCAAATATTCGAGATATATTTGGTCTTATTTTTCAAAATCAAAATTTTTTTAAAGTCAAAACCTTTTTCAAAATAAAAATAAAAATCAACAGATCAGTGTAGTCGCATGACGAATTTTAGATGAGGTCGCTCCACCGATCTTCCGTCGACCGATTTCGTTGCTTGCCCGACGAGGCATCTCGTGCTCTGGCACTGAATCTCAGTTGCCTGAAACTCCATCTCAGCCATCCAATCCTCTGAGATTCGTGTTGGCATTTGTGTTGTGTACATTATAGGTTATTTCCTTAAATCAAATATTAAAAATAGAGCACTTAAATTCTTTTTTTTACTTTACACTTAACTTATAATGTAATATCTACACGAGCAATCAGTCTTTAATGTATTCATCAAGCATTAAACTTTTAATTCGCAACATCATTTTTTGTTGCCCTGAGTTTCATTCCCATGCCATGCTGAATGCAGGAAATATTGTCAGAGTAATACTACAGTTTGATTATTCGCTGGACTAAACAGAAATTCTGTAGAATGAATTTGGTTATGAACTCAACCGGAAAGATTCTCATTCCAATTTATCTGTTAAATTATACAAAACAAATACTCTTAAATTATACTTTTTCTGACATTCAATATCATTGTTTCAATGGCTTGCCTGGTTTTTGTATCTCATGATTCTCCCCATTGATTATGAAGTCTTTGATGCCTGGGTTTCACAGGCTGGGTGGAAGCTTTGGCCTTTTGCTCATTTGATTACTTACGGGTTAATTCCAGTTGAGCAGAGACTTCTTTGGGTGGACTGTGTTGAGCTGCTTTGGGTTATGATACTATCAACGTATGCATTTTACTCGCTATTTTTCCTAAGATTCAAGACGTGCGACATATACTTGCTGCAAGTTTTGAAACCAAGTTATGTTTTTTTCTCAGTTACTCAAATGAGAAGTCTGAAGCAAGACATTCGGAGACTTTGTCGGAGCTGAGTTCAGAATCTCAATCTGTAGCTTCAGAGGTACTACAGTTTTTTGTTTTTTAAAATAATGCACAGGCAAAATTTTGTATAAACTAGCTGTATTTTTTGTCATTCATTCTGTAGGAGATTCGAAAATAATTGGTGTTAATAGTTTAGCAATTTGTTTGGCTTGGATAGCTGCAAGGGGAAGCAGGAAGAGGTCTGTATTTTTGTTGGAAAATCGGTATTTATTTGATGTATCAATAAAATTTAGCTTTTTTCTGTGTACCTTTGATGTAAAAAGATACAGGATGAAAATGCAGATAATTGAGGTCTGTGAATGAAAGTAATTAGAACTGCTTGAATTCTGTTAAATATATTCTCTATTCAATAAAATTGATTTTTAATTTTATTTTTGATCCTTGAAAGCATGCATTTTGAGCTGTCAGAGAAAAGTAGTTTTGAGAGGCTAATTCGGAATGAATATATCTATCTATCTATCTATCTATCTATCTATCTCTATATATATATAAAGGGAGCAACTCAAGGATCCCTACATGTTAGACTAAAAAAGGTGTACAAAAGTGGGGAAGGTGGGTACCCCATCTAAAAGCCTATGGGTTCCATTTCCACAAATACAACAACACACAGAGGAACAACATGAAAATCCAAGCCTCAACCCACTAATAGACACCTATGAGCTCAGGCTCAATAGCATCAGTAGCCAAGACAGGGGCATGAAAGTATAAAATACACTGACCAAGGTGGTTTCTATAAACCCCTCCCACACCAGCACCAATATCAATGAAGCTTCCATCAGAGTTTATTTTGACAATATGAGGCATAGGAGGTCTCCAAAACACTTTGCATATCAGAGAGGGAGACACTCTCTCAGTGTGATAGGATTTACAGATATTAGGGAATCTTTTATATTTGATCATTTTATAGAGATAAGGAGCAACATTGGAGGGATAACCCTCAAATTTGGCATGGTTCCTAGACATCCATAAGAACCAGGTAACCAAGAAGGTGATAGAAGCATAGTTATGGGTTTTCCAACTATGCCATCAAGTTTGAAAGTTGACCCAATGAAGGTTAGTATCAAATTCTGTCCAGACTTCTTGAGCAAATCTGCATTCAAAGAAAATGTGAGGAATTGATTCCTTCTTATCCAAACACAACCAACATCTAGAAGGGCCCTTCAGTCCTTTAAGCTTCAGGATGTCATCAGTTGGCAGTAACTTGTGGAAAGTTCTCCATCAGAAAAAGGACAGAAAGGGAAAGAAATTTATTCCAGATAACTTCTCCCCAAGGCACCTGATCCCAACATAAGACTTTAGAATAAACAACTTTAGTAAGACTTTGGTTAGTATAAGCTTGCCAAATAATTTTGTCAGATCTATTTCTGTCAAAATGAAGCTTAGATATATGGGTGGCAGAAGGTTCCTGAAGGATGGTAGATAGCATTGGAAGGGATCAGTTGTTACCCTCCCAACAATCAGCAACTTTAAGTTGAGGGTTGGAGCTAGTAGAAGAAGGGATCAACCACTCCTTAGGACACCAGTGGTCCAACCAGAAGTTAATCTCCCCTTTACCCAAATCCCCAAGGAATAATTCTTCTGCAATGTGTCTGATTTTGAGCATATTGACCCAAATGTTAGAGTCTCCCAATTTTCTAACAGAGAGAAATGGGTGTTGATCTTTGCAATATTTGCCCAATATAAATGTTGCCTATAGAGAAGATTGGGCTCTGAATTTGATCCAGATCTTACACAGATTAATTTGAAGGAGATATTGAAGCCCTTTGAATCCAATACCCCCAGCCAAAGTAGATTTAGCTGCCTTCTGCCAAGAAGCCCAATGGAGTTGCTGTCTTTGACCTGACCAAAGAAACCAGTTAAAAGCCGTCTCCATTTGAAGTTGAGTACTTTTCTTCAGATTGGCCATCTGGAGGATGTAAGAGGGGAAGATTGTGAGAATACTTTTAAGCAGGGTGATTCTACCACCATTGGAAAGGAAGGACTGGGAAACGTAGGAGGTGATCTTAACAAGAACCTCATCAAATTGAATCTGCTTGGATTTTCCAGTGAGGAGAAGAACTCCAAGGTATTTCATGGGGAGTTTGAGTACAAGAGAAGCCAGTGTAGTGAGATATCCACTGCTTACAGTTGGGAGAAGATCTTTTATTGAAAATCAGTTGGCACTTTCAGGATTATAAGTCATCCCAGAGTGAGATTGGAACATCTGAAGGCACTCATACACCTTTTTAACAGAATTCTTATGAGCCCTAGAGAACACCATAATATCGTCAGCATGTAGGAGGTGAGAAATGGCTATATTTGATCTGTGATGGTACCTTGAGTAGCTCTGGGCCAGTAGTTTCATCCAAGGTTCTAGACAGTTAATCAATGGCAAGTATGAAGATTGTAGGTGACAGTGAATCCCCTTGCTCCAGCCCTCTAGTAGCAGTGAAAGACCCTCTAGCTTGCCCATTAATAAGGATGGAGTGCCCATTATTAACTAGCCATCTATGAATAAGAGTGCAGAAATCAGGTTGGAAACCTCTAGCTAAAAGAATTTCCAGATGAAGTCCCAATTTATAGTATCATATGCCTTTTTAATATCCAATTTGTAAATCAAATTGCCTCCCCTACATAACTTATCCAGATCCAGTAGCAGTTCTTGTGCAAGCAAAGCATTATGAGTGATGGATCTACCCTTGACAAAAGCAGTCTGATTAGGCCTAATCAGCTTATCAAGGTGAGGTTGGAGTAGGCTTACAATAGTTTTGCTAATGATTTTGCTTATCATAGTAGTAAGGCAAATGGGCCTGAAGTGATCCCAATTTTTCTGTATGTCAGACTTAGGCACCAGAACAATGTTAGAATCACATATATAATTAGGGAAGTTATGGCCTTGAAAGAAACTATTGATGGCAACAATAACATCTAATTTGATGATGTCCCAGGATATTTTGTAAAAATCTGCAGTGAAACCATCAGGCCCTGTGGTATTTAAAGTTGTCAATAGAATTTAAGGCCACCCAAATTTCCTTTTCAGTAAAGGAATCAGTGAGCAGAAGGTTTTTGGTATAAGTTAACTCATCATAGAAGCAGTGTCTGTCAATAGGAGGCCTGCTAGCTGGGACTTGATTCAGTAACTGTTTATAGTAGGAGATAACATCCCTGACAATTGCAGAATTATCATGAAGCCAAATCCCCTCAGCATTTTGGATAGAGTGTATGGTATTGCACTTTCTTCTGTATTTAATATAAGCATGATAAAACTTAGTATTTCTATCCCCATCAGTAAATATATTAATGGAGGCCTTTTGCTTCAGAAACTGCTCTTGATTCTCAATGGCAATAAGAAGGTTGTTCTGTGTAGTTAATAGAGTATTTTCCTCTTCAGCCCCATTTTGAACCTCCAATTCTAGCCTTTCAACTTCTTTTTCTACAATAGCCACAGCAGTGAGCACATTACCAAAAACTTCCTAGCTCCACTTCCTAAGGGCTTTACCAACTCTTAGCTGCAATAGATTAAGTTTGAACAGAGGCTCAGGGTGGATGACACCTTTCCAATGGTTGGAGAAAGTGTTCAGAAAAGAGGGGTGGGTGGACCACATGTTGAGGTACCTGAAAAAGGGGGGGGGTGCTCAAAAAAAGAAGAGGAAGTAATGGTGATCAATAAAGGCCTATGGTCTGAGCAAGCAAGGCTAAGGTGGGTTACAAAAGTGAGGAGGAAATGGGAGAACCGAGGAGGAAATGGGAGAACCAAAATGGGAGAACCAAAGGTCATTCACCAAAATTCTATCTAGTCTTTCCCAAAGGTGTCCCCTCGTCCAGGTAAAAGCAGGTCCCTTGAATCCCAGGTCAAACAACCCAGCATGGTGGATATTGTCACTGAAATTGGTCATTTTAGAGATGTTAGGAACCCTGCCCCCATATTTTTCAACGGAGGAAGTAATGCAATTGAAGTCTCCCCTTACCAGCCAAGGAGAATACATTTGTTCACTAATATTATGGAGACATGACAAATGCTCTCTTCTGTCATCCTTATTGCAACCTGCATAGATAAAAGAGGAAAAACCCAGATGTCCATTGATCAGGAAGGATAGGTGAACAAATTGCTGATGATCCACCTGGATGTTCCAAATGATCTCCTTTCTATAGAAAATTCAAATTTTATTATTAGTGTTAGCAAAGTGACAAAACCCAAAAAACTTCTTGATGAGTTTTTTAGGATGTTTATGAACCATGGGTTCAAAGATGGTAATGCACCAAAGCTTGTATTTATTATTAAGGTGTAGAATTCTTTTAAGAGAAAGGGGGTGAGCAACTCTCCTAATGTTCCAACATAAAAGATTAATCATTTTGTGGAGGGGGATGGAGAGAGGGCTATGATCTAGATCTAGTTCTGCCTCTAGAGGGTTTAGAGGGGGAACCAGTCTTCACACTAGCATTGCCTCCTAACATCATTGAAGTTGACCCTTTTTGAAGCTTCTGCACCTTTTTTTTCATCTTTCTTGCTGTGTGAATTTGCCAGCCCTCTTCTAAGGTTTGTTGCATATCAGCAATTTTGATAACATCAAGAACATCTAATAGTTTATTAGTAGTAGTAGTAGAAGGGCACACCGCATCGTCACAGTCAAAATCATTAGAGGATGCAGGAGTGACTATAATTACCTCATTAATTTCTTTCCTCACTGTCATTCTTGGAGAGTCAGCTGATGGGTCAGTAGATGAGGAAGGAGTGGCATTCAAGCACCCCATAGGGTCCCGTAGGGGAGAATTAACAGTTGTGTTCATAGGAGGGGTCCCCTCAACAGGAAGGTTGGACATCTGTTTATCAGTGATAGTATCAGTCTCCTTAAGAGTATTATTAGAATTCCTTCTAGGTGGGGGGTGGAGCCTGTATCATCTCTCCAATGTATGTCCAAACATTTTACAATGTTGGCAATAGTAAGGTTTTTGCTCAAGCACTATTTCCTGCCAGAAGCCTTTTTTATCAGACCCCATCCAAACCCTTTTCAGTTCTGGGAGGGTAATATCCCTTTCTATTAGGATTCTAGCAAGTGCAGGTCTTGCTTTGTTATAAGTGGGGTGTCCACCTTTAGGGGTGTACCTATTGCATGACCAATGTTAAATAGAGCATTTAGATTGAAGAAAGGGAGAGGGAGGCCTGGCAATTTGAACCAAAGAGGCACCACAGGGGGTTCCTTACTTTGATCAAAACCTGGAGTCCATTTTAGAATTTTCATAGAGGTTCTTGCAATCATAATGAATTGCTTGGAAAACAGCCTAACATAGTCTTCTTCCATTGTGAGCTGGATCAAGAGGTGTTTCCCATCAAGTAACCC